ACATCTTGCCAAAGGACTGCAGCTGAAAATTAGCCAGCTGGCTAACACTAGCACATTTACAGAAATGCTGATTAATGTGTGTTGTTTTCATAGATAAAAATAAATTAATGAAATGAAATCTGCTTATCAAGAATAGTCAAAATGACCGGCACCTTGAAGAGGAAGTTTTGGTTTGGGTATCCACTGACTACATCAGATCAGCCTGCCAGAGGCTTTATTGTTGTCGATGGGTTACGAGATTGGTTCCAATGAAACCTGTTGGAGATGATGTGTGGGTCATTCTTAGTTGCAATGGACATAATCTTTATGAAAATAATAATTACAATAAATCTAGTTTTGTTAACTTGAAACCTGGTCAGAATTTTGGTCAGTGGAAAGACTGAAAACAAGATCAATGTTAAGAACGCAATTAGACACATTTGCCCAAGATGCGGGGAAGTGACAAAGACATGTCTGCTTTAGCGGAAAATTAGCCACATATTCCTCCATATATTAGTATGAATCTGCGTCATAAACGTGCAGCGATAAGAGGGAAAAGGAGACAGATCAAGGTAAAACAAAAAAAGGCAGAGTTTCTGGTGAGTTCTGAGTTCAGTCAGAGGTTAAGCTGAACACGGACAGACAGCTAACGCCTGTAACAGTTAATGTGATACTGCAATTTCCACATGTGGCCGTTTTCTAGGTGTTGCCTTGCTTCTTTTCTGTCAGTTTTTACAATGCAACCTAAAAACATGAGTTAATCTATCACCATCTCTGCCATTGTCAGTCAGTGAGCTTGTCCTTTTTTGGGCTACATAATAAATTAAATTGTGTCACTTCTTCTTGGTCAGTCATTTCCATATCTCTGTACTCTCGTCATCCTGTCATTCTAAGAATGTCATGAAATATCTGGTAGTCCAACCCAGCTACCATATGTGCCCACGCTCAAAGGCATCCACCCACACAAAACCAAAGTTCTGAGTGCAATCTCGACTCAGAGGCCTCTCCGCGACTCATAAGAAAAGTTCAAGTTGTCATTATGTGACTTACTCACGCAGCGCGTATGAGTAATAGATGTAGTAAGGAGCAGGTTCAGATGGAGAGGTATTACAGAGGAAAAGGAGGAGGTGGAGGAGAGCTGAATAGAAGGTGATGAATGAGATGACTGAAGGCAAAGAGAAAGAGCGAAACAGTGAGAGAGAAGTGGATTTTAAATTACATGGTGGCTTATGTCAGCAGCCGTAATTAGCAGCTTGGTCAGGTGTGATGAGTGGGACAGGAAGCTTGAAAGAAAGGACGACACAGCGAAGAAACCAAGGAGTGTCTGAGCAAACAGAGTCCACATGACACATGGCGATGCAATATGAACTTCCCTGAAGTGGAGAAAGTGAATGAGAACAGTATGCATGGCGAATTCACGGCTATGAATGGAGGTATGCTCACAGAGACACGCACGTGCCTTTGTTCGCAGTATGTCGCGTGTCAAGCGCATGGATGACAAGACTGGAAATTCAGACAATTCTTAAGCTGGCTGGTGGGCTGCCAAGTTAAATGTTGCTTTTGGAGAAAAGAACAAGGGGTGGGAGCGGAGCGGGGTGAAAGGCGGGCTACAGATAAACTTACAGCATGACACAAGTATCAACACATTCTGGCTCTCACCCCCACTGAGCAGTACAGAAGGACAGCTGGACACAAGTCTCCTGAAAGGGAAAACACAGTAAAAAAAATGTTCCTGCATGCACCAGAAAACACACCCCTAACTGAGCATTTTGGTGTAGAATGTTTTTTGAAGATGGTGTTTTGTTCGGGTACTCCAGCTTCCTCCCACAGTCCAAAGACATGCACGTTAACTGGTGACTTTAAATTGCCTGTAGGTGTGAATGTGAGTGTGAATGGTTGTCTGTCTCTATAGGCCCTGACACACCAAGCCGACCAAAGTCGGGCAGTCGGGCCTAGTTTTTGCGGTGTGTCCCGCACCATCGGCACTTCGGCGTCGGTGGCTTTTCGGCCGATTGAGCATGTTGAATCGGCGACGGAGCTTGTCGGTGAGAGAGATCACTCTGATTGGCTGTTAAGGTTTTATTTCCTCGCACCTGTAGCGACTGAATCTGCCTGTAGTGAAACCGGGGCTAACAGATGCTTCCTCCTCAGGCTCCACTTCACTCAGCTGCCCGAGAGATCCGCTGCTTCTTCCCCCTTTAACCTGAATAACAAACCTGGGCTAGCTGGGGGCGGCTAGCAGAGCTTTAGCCGCAGCATGACTTATATCAGTCAAACGCCTCTGTAAGGACGACAAAAAAAGAGCAGAGAATCAGAAGAAAATACCAGGAGATGTACGTTCTTTTATCTATGTCCGATAGTCGACATCAGAGACACTCAATTAGCTTAGCTTAGCCACTTTTGCAAAATGACAGGAGGCCAGGGTCCAGATGCAGCAGCCTCACACAGGTCAGGTGTACATTGGAGTTTTTCTGGGACTTGAGGACATTCCGCAATTAGCCCAGGCCTCTTTTGGGGGGGTCCCACCTGGCACGTCTTTTGTTAAAAAAAGTACAAACAAACAAAAAATTCCCGGTATGAATCAATTTATTTTCACTGTGACTTAGAAAATGGTTGGGGGCCAACAAGCACCCTACAGAGGGCTAGATTCAGCCCATGGGCCTAAGGTTGAGTATCACTAGTTTCCTTTTTTTCTTGGCAGTAATATAAAGTGTCTACTCTCATAGTGCCCCTATCTTTCTCTTGAATGTTTAACATAGACTGTACAAAATAATGGACATAGCTACTGTGACGTCACCCATTTGTTTGTGGACTCTGGTTTTGAAGCCTTGAGTTTGGCATTTTGGTCATCGCCATCTTGGTTTTGTGGAGCCAGAAATGAGTACACCTGGGTGAGGGGCTGGCACTATGGATTTGACTGAGAGCTCGAGGACACTATCTGACAGTCTTTTACTCAAAGTGGCTACGCCTTCAATTATGTACATTAACATTAAGCCTTAATAAAATGCCAAGGAGTGAGTAACATAAAAATGCACCCCCCACACAGTTGGCATGAAGGAGGAAATGAGCTAAAGACCAAAACTGTTTTTGTACCAGGCTATAAACATGTTTACATTTCTGCTGTAAAGTTGGGAATTTTAACACGGTGGTCTATGGAGATTGACTCGCTTCTAGAGCCAACCTCAAGTGGCCATTCGATGAACTGCAGCTTTTTCAGCCCCAGGGGGGTTGTCGCTTGGTGTTTAAGCAAAAGTATATTCTTAAGGTGCTCACAGACTCGGGCGTACTGTAAGCGGGGTGGACTCCGCGAGGAATGTCCGCAGTCATTCGGGCTTCCATAGTCGAGCGCACTTCCACGTTGTAGTTTCCTGTAAAAATGTCCATGAAAAATCCCTGCGATGTGAAAAATACATGCCAAGCAGTCTTTTGTGTGACACTGGGGCGCGGGACGGAGTCCGCACGGCCGTAAAATCTGAGCTTTGAGCGCACAGGGCTTGCGGACATCCACTTTTAGACCGGGCGAACCTCCGCAGAGTCCGCTCTGTGTATGTTCCGCCCAAGTATGTTTGGGCCTTTATTATTAGCAATTTCAACAAGTCAATGGAAATAAATTTAATCAGCAACTATTATGATATTCGGTTTATCGTTTATGTCAATGTCAGGCAAAAAAGGGCCAACCACTTGTTAGTTTCAGGTTGTGATATGTGAAAATTTGCTGCTTTTCTTGGTCTTACTTTACTTTACTACTTTGTGCTCTAGTGGTCCTTTTTGTCAAGGACCCCTATGTTGATAAACAATAGGTGATTTTACTTCAGGGACTTCCATCTGAAAATATTTTTGTTGTTAGATTTGATCAAGACCAGAATTCTGTAGTTGTCAACTACAGTTGAGGGGATAACTGTGGAGGAAGTGAAACCTTTGATCAGGAAAATCACTCTTATGACTCTGCTCACACTGGACTCACTTTTACTGTAAATTAAATAGTGAAAATAAACTATTTCCCTTTTTATTCTGGGGACCCCCTGAAACTCCCTCAGGGGACCGCTAGTTGAAAACCACTGCTCTAAGATATTGTGAGAAAATAATCGGCAGACTAATCAATGACAAAAGTAAATGATATTAGCTATCCAATTTTAACCCAAAGTCACTGTCATTTATTGATTTAAAGGAGACCTGATTGCCTCATTTTTATTGCAGATTACATCTTCTGAAAATTAGTTTTACAATATTTTGTTTCACTTCTCTCTGGAGCTCAACATTAGTGGCAATCTTTATCAGTGAGTCAAAGAGGCAACACTGATACATAGAGTGGAAATATTTCAGTCTGCAGCTGTTGCTGTGATGAAGAGTTGGATATTAAATTTCTTCATATTCAACGAGTGTCACTTTACAAACTGTATTTTAGTCGTTTTAAATTGACCATCTAATTAAGCTGCAGAACACGCAAAAGAATTACGGAGGAGGAGACATTTGTTGCTTTAAATGTGACTTTTTTCAAGCACTGTGATGGAGGAGTGAGTGTCATGATCAAGAGTTGTTATTTCAGGAATGTGACGATATGCTGTGCTGCATTTACTCCTGCATGCAAACAAGCTCTCCTATGACAAGTTAAAAGCTTAAAGTGAATTGATATGTATTAACATCTTTAAAAGAACTTTCCAAAACTAGCTTCACATGACACAAGCATCAAAATGACCTCATATCCTCTGTGTTTAGTCCTTGACTTCCAAACACAACACAGGTATGCCTTCCCCTCACCCAAAGATGGAGTGGGAGAGTGTCTGTCAGAAAATGAAGATGTATTTGTCTGATCCGGACATAGCTGTGTGACAGCCAGTGACCCCCCCAACTCAGAGAAAGCCTCACACCCCGGGGCAAGAGAGTGACACACACAAACACTCTCCAAGGAGGAGTCATGGGGCAAAGGGGAGGAGGGGGAGGGAGCACGAGAGGAAAAGGGAGTGTATTTCTCTCTCTCTGTCTCAAACACACACCTTCCCTCCTCCCATGTAAGAAGCAAGAGGAAGAGTCACACACTCGAGTGCTCAGTTGCGCGGCCATTCATGTACAGGTAGACAGGATACTGAGGTTTGGTGAGAAACTATACGAGAGAAAGAGAAGATAAGAGACGGACAGCCACTGGTTGCTCAGAGACACTCAAGCTTTCAAGGAGGGCACTGACAGCCTGCCTTATGTGTGGCTCCTCTCAAGGCTTCACAGTAAGTGTGCATCCTTTTTAAATCATCTTATTAATTATGATGTATAACAGATGTGATTTTTCTAATTTATTTATAAGTATGAGCTGGAGTTATGCTTTTTTTTTTTTTTTTTTTTTTTTACTGATTCTTTCATTTATTTTTGCATTGCAACACTGTCCCGCAGAACATTAATGTCAAAGTAAGGTGAAAAGCGCTTTCTAGCGTCAACCTGTTACATGTTGCCCTGTGAACCACACAGCTGTGTGCCTTTGACTCATGCCATGATTTTCACAATATATTTTCTGCTGTGTCACTGGGTTCGGCGGTTTCGGAGTGAGCTGTCACACTTGTGACAGTCATTCCGCGTCAGCTGTGGTGACCAAACTTCAGAGAAAAAAATAGCATGATATGTTGTCCATAAATCTCATCTTGCTGCGCTTTCATCTGAATTCCCTTTTTATCTCTGCCTGAGAATAAGATGACATAATTTGGTATTGCAGCATATGTTCCATTTTTAGATACAGATGTCAGATTACTGTGTGTGTCTTGACAATTTTTTATGAACACAACTTTCAAAAAGGGGAATGACAGTCTTTCTGTTGAGGCACGCTGATGAAATATTTGTTCATACAGATTTAGCTTCCCCTCAGTTTTCACTTGACTTTAAGTCTTACTTTAAAAGGTCACGTGAGTGCTTACCAAATATTACCCACCACAGACCTTATCTATCACTATCTCAGACGCAAACTGATGAGCCTAAAAAAAGGAAGTTCTAAGAAGTCACATCTGAGCATTGTCTTTCAATCACAAGTCCTCTATCTTCCTCTCTTTCACTATTTCACCGTTTCATCCCATCAGTTTGGGGAACTTTTTGTTGAGGTGCCTGACACCAATCTTCCTGAAAAGGAAGGTATAGACAGTGAGGAACAGACAGACAGAAAGAGAAAGAGACTTTAGACCTGGCTGAGAGCCAAGCCTCAGTCAGTTCAGAGGAAGTCTGCTCGATTCACTGGGAGTGCTGATTTCCTTGTGAAAGTGGTCCTGCTCCGGGGGCTGACGTGCACAGGAACCTCCCTTATAGCCCAGGGGTTGTTATGTGGAGAGTCACAGGATGTATGGGACAGTGGGGGCAATGGGGCAGCGCGCACGAAGGTTCCGCTTTGAAGTTTGTTTGTCCGGTAGTAGTAGTGTAGTGTCCTGTTGATGGGAAAGTTAGATTCTCTCCGCCACTTCTCCTCCTCTTAACATCCCCGACTTGCTCTCTGCCTCCTCTGTGTCACACCTTGCACTCTGGAATCTAATTTTAGCTCCATTCAAAACTTGACTTCCCTTGGTACTCCAGCTTTTGTTTGTATTGTCTGTGCTTTCCCTGTTATGTTGTGACATAAAAAGGAAAAGGTCAAAGGAAAATGGTCAACAATTAGATGTCACTCCCATTGCCAAAATTGTCTGTTTTTTCAGACACTTTATGTCTCTATCTTCTTTGTAGGCCTCCTCCTCTCCGTGCACCACAGCCATGTTAACCTCAGAAAGCTCACCGCAAAGCACAGGACTCGTCGCAGCAGCGATGCCAGAGACGCATGACGCAGACATGACATCATGGAGCGAGGCAAACTTTGAGGAGAGGTGCACTTACATCGTGAAGGACCAACTTCTGGAGGAAGAGTCCGAAAACAGCGGCAAGACACGAGCTGAGAGATCCTTACCCAGAAACCTTGCCCTGAAACGCTGCCATGACTCCACAGAGGTACGCATTCAACTTGTCTAAGCTTTAAGAGTTGTTAGCATCCATTTTTTAAAACCAAAGCGTGAAAAAGACACCGAAAAATAATCAAATCAATATATCTGTGAGGTATGTAAGCATGTACTGCCGTTGTTTATGTTTTGTGTAACTGACGAGTTCTTGCGTCACTCCAACATCCTTCCATCCACTCATCCATCCTCGGGGCGGGAAGTACTTGACATGTTGTTGTCTAATTTCAGCCTTTCCTCTCTGCTGTGTATTTTGAGGCAAAGACGGAGAAAGGCGAGCCCCTCGGCGCACAGCCTGAAGTCTCTGTGATTAGCAGCTACCTCAGATTCCTAAACCTTTGTCCCAGCACACAATTACACCGTAAAGTAGAGCACCAGCACCTTAAGTATAAGACCATAAACATAATCTGGATTAAGTGTTTAGCAGTTCCAGTGACTTAAAGAAGAGGATAATTTATGTTCAGCTGGATGGACTAGGAAATTGCAGATAAAAGATTAACCCAGTGGGCTATCAATGAAAAGGATACATTAGGTTTCCTTATGCAAGATTAGGGTTGAGCCCCTGTAGATGAAAGATGGTTGTCAGGTGAGATGAGAGGAAGTAGCCTCGCTGTCTGCAGCAAAATACCTGTACCACCACTTTGACCTTCTAATAAGGTCTGTCTGGAGTCTGGATGACACCAAAGAGCAGGTTACGTTACAGTAATCTGTGACACAGGAGCAACTCAAATGGAGCCGTCTGACAAAGGGGATAAAACTAGCTGGATAAAACTCTATGGTGAAGCATGTAGTGGTTGATCCCAGCTACATGCACCACGTCGGTATTGCTCCGAGATGAAAGAGAGACTACATTACCATTGCTTTAGGGGATTTGGACACGGAGCTCAAAGTGCAGTTGACTGGTAGGGGTGTGCCCATGACACCTTATCCTCCCTTCCACACCCTGTAGGCTTGAGACGGAGGGGTGAGTTTCACACCTGGAGGTAGCAGAACAAGAGTGGTGGTGAAATTTTAATATGGTAAAGAAACTAAAGATAACATGGTGCAATCAGCTTATGAAATATTCAGCGTGTGAAGGAACGGACACGTTCTGTCACAGCCTGGCAAAATTCTCATTTTCTCAGGGGAAGATCTGTCACGACGTCCAATATATAACAATAACAACTAATTGCTTATTTCCTTTTGTGGGAGATTTTCCAGTGAATTGACCTGATCCTTTTTCTTAATCACCAAGAAACCAGCACGGGGTGGAGAGCCAGAGATAAGGACTGTATTCCCAAGAATCTCAGCCCTCTAATTACGTTTCTCAGCTCTGAGTGCATCCGGCTGCTCGCTCAGACCTCCAATTTGTGAGCCACTCTGTCGTTTGATGGTTTCATGTCCTCCTTTTTGAACAGGTGCTCGGGGTGACCAGTAAGGAGCTGATTCCTATGGGGACACGTTTCGGCCCTCTGGTGGGGGAAAGCTACACTGACGAAACGCTGCCGAAAGATGCTGACAGAAAGTACTTCTGGAGGGTAAGTGAGCTGAATGTGTGCAAGTGAGCTCCGTCTTGATGTGTTTTTTTTACACAACTGTTCACATCCTGTATCTCCATCTGGAGACACTGCTGAGGCTGTGGTGTGGCACGAGTTAGCAGTTGTGGTCAACGCTTGACATCCTGTGAAAGTATGACTCGGTGTGCCGATGCTAGAGTACCTTTAAATGCTGCTACATCAAATGATTTTAAATGTGCATACACTGTGAATGTGTGTCTGCCAGTTCTCTGCATGGCTGCCTGAGGTCACACATACAGCTGTTTGGTTTCAGTGACGCAGCGGTTCTCCTCTCTCTCCGCTTCCCTCGGCAGCGGTGTCGCTGCCAGTAAATACACCATACACATGTCCGCGCTCCTCCAGACTCATAAACTCTCACACTGACTAAGCAAGGAAGTGGTTTTGAGCCTGAGAGCTGTTATGTTACAAATCAGCAGCAACGGGACATCTTCCATTACACACACAAGTGCCTGTGTAATTCGACAGTTTAGAGTCAGCAGCCTTGAAATCATGCAACCCCTGACCAAAACTTGCAGCAGCCATAACATAGACAATGTGTTAACATTACTGCCATGACTCAACTGACAGCATGGCTACAAAGAGAAGATAGTATGAAGAACAGATCTAAAGAGAGGGACAGACAACTCTTTAAAGGTCCAGTAAGAATAGTTGTGTTTTGGCTACCTTTGAATGAGCTGTTTGTATCTACACAGGGGGGTCCTCGTCCACAAAGGCCACCACATTGCACAGCTATGTTTCTAGAGCAGCCCAGAATGGACAAACCAAATGCTGGCTCTAGATAGGGCCGCTCGTGATTTTGCATCAGCCACCGTCGTTAGCAGCCCCCACACTAGGAGCCAAAGAGCATCAGAAAAAGATTATGACCTGATAATTCAGCTCTTAGTAAAGACCTCCTGAATGTCTGGATCTTAAGTTATCGTAGAAAAAAGGTGAGCCAAAAAAAACTCACACACTGCTCCTTTAGATGAGCTGAATTCAAACAGCTTTTTAAAAGGTCAGCACTTCTTCACCACAAAGGTGGTAGGTGAGAGTCTTAGTGGGCGAGGTAGTACACTCAATACTACAATCCAGTCATACCGTGAAATTCTTATGCAGTCTTATGCTGGGTGACTTGTGTGCCGTAAACATGGGCAGCACCTATCTCAGCTGAAAGAACATACAGTATTTACCATAAAGGCATCAGGAAACCTGTGACATCATGGTTTCAGATTCAGACTGTGTCATCATTAACTGAATTATCGCCCGTCTCGTCATCTCTCAAACTGTAGGTCTTCTCGGAGGGGTGTTTGCACCACATCCTGGATGGTTTGAACGAGGAGCGCAGCAACTGGATGCGTTACGTCAACCCAGCTTGCAGTGTGGATGAGCAGAACCTGGTGGCGTGCCAGAGTGGTTTGGATATCTACTTCTACACCATCAAACCTCTTCAGCCGGGGCAGGAGCTCCTGGTGTGGTACTGCCCCGAATTAGCCCAGCGCTGTAATTACCCTCCACTGGGCCAACTGGCAATCGACAGTAATGGTAAGTGTGTGAGTAGAAGCAGGATTCATTTAGGATGGTGCTTTGTTTCTGGATACCTTGGGGGCAGCAGGAGCTCAGTCCATAGGGACTTGGGAACTGGAGGGTAGTACAGACCAAGTATGGAGCGTGGACTGGTAGCTGGAGAGGTGCCAGTTCACCTCCTAAGTAAAGCAAGGCACCGAACCCCCAACTGCTAGGAGTTCCTGTCCAAGGCAGCCCCCTTGCTCTGACATCTCTCCATTTAATGCATGTATAGGTCCTGTTTGTGCATGTGTGTGTATTTCAGGCCTGTGTATCCCCTCTGGGATTAAAGAATAAAGTATATCCTCTTCTCCTTAAAGGTACAGTTGACACCAAACTCAAAAATACATGTTTTTCCACGTTACCTGTAGTGCTATCTATCGTTCTAGATTGTTACGATATGAGCTGCCAAGAGTTGGAGGTATGTCCTTTTGAGTTACCAGGAACAATTCCTGTGCCCACGCTTTGAGACACATCTGTTATTGTGTAGTAAGGCTCCCAATCAAAGCGCCAGGCCGACTGACATGCTCTTTGTGTGCATGTTTAAGAAGTTACTCAGTCACACCCATGGCCCTTTTGTTAGAGCAGGACACAAAGGAGGAGAGTAGAGTCCTGAAAGCAGAGAGGGTCTGTCTTCAGGTATAGCCACAGTACCTGTGTAAGATGAGACCAATTTCAAGACTTTAGGCAATGTTTTAGTTTCCCTTTTTTAACTCCACGTAGAAACACAGCTGGCAGCTCTGTGACACACACAAAGCATTCGGCTTTCATTCACAAACACAAAGAGCGCACATGCTAGCGGAGAGACCGCATGCACACACCAAAATACTCATTTACACGCACGCTCACACACAAGAGGCAGCCTGAGGTGCTGACAGCATTCTGGCACGACTCCCCTTATTTATTTGGCTCTTAAGGAGGAAGAGAGGTAGGAACCGCTCCAGTGACTACTTGAACTTCCTGACAAGGCGACCCGCTGACAGATTGATATCTCACTGATTTTCGGCTGTTTGTTTGCTGAGAGCCGGCCTCTCAGGAGAGGGGGAAGGGTAACACGGGGGAGCACACAGTAGATAAGGGCTGCTCTGTGTTTGCGTGGGTTGATGTTGACTGTGTCCAGGAGTAGGTGAAATGTGCATGCATACTTCTATATTTTGTCTTCCTCTGTTTGTCAGCTCGTGTCCTTTGTCTATTCTGGAGCAAGTCAGTAAAGCAGAGTTTCTTCACATGACTTCCTGGGTACAAAGTGGAAGGATTTGCTCAGATAAAACACAGATTTAGACCCAGATTTCATGAGGTTGACCTGTGTGTAGAGTTGAGTGGAAAATAAATATTGTTCAGAGGTCAGCTGTGTTGTGACTTGTAAACTTTCCGCTCCATCAAGCATCTTGGATTATTTGTGTCCGGGCGAAATCTGTGATTCATCGGTCACTTTCAAATAAAAAACAGTTCCTCATCCTGTGTATCCTGTCGTGGTTGTGGTGGAAAATACTGGACAGCACTCTAATGCAAATAACATACTGTACCCACTTACTGAATGCTATCTGTGTCCTGATCTGACACCTATTGTTTCTCACGTGGTGTCCACTTTCATAGAGAGCCAGAACAAGTCTGGGAGACGGTGCGCAGACAGGCATACACCTTACAAAAACACTAGAGAGGCAATGATTAATAGTAGATGTCAACTACTAAATTAATTGTCAGCCGATATGATAATCGATTAATCTGTTCGAGCATAGATGGGTTACTGAACTGGCCTACCAGACACAGGCCAAGGGCCCCGATTGAAAAAAGTGTTATAATTTGTCTTTTAAATATTTAGTAGCTACAGCCCTGAAAGACACACGCAGTATTAAGCTTTGGACTAGAGCACATACCTCTAAAAGTAAAAATAAACAGTGATTTCAACAACTCGTGTGCATGATCACATTAATGTCATGGGTGTATGTGTCACTCAACCAAATGCTGATGCTGTTACTGAATATCTAAAAATGACTTCACCTGTTGCTGATGTCATGTATTTGTCCCACAGAGCACAGTCAAGCTCAGGAGAAGACAACAGCGAAACGAGGACACAGCGTCTCTGAAATCCTCCAAGACGAGCCCACCAAATCCCACACTGCCTGCGCCAGACGCCTGGACGGTCCCTTGTCTCAGACCAACCTCCCAACAGTTTTTCCCCTGTGTCCCCGTGTTGTCTACCCAATCCAGCCCCACCCAGAATCTATCCACGGCCACAGATATGCAACTCTACCACCTCTGCCATCATGTAGCCCTCCAGCTGCAAAAAGGCCAGCTCTAAGCGTCCCCCTCCCCTCCAGTTTGCACTTCCCCTTGCAGCACAGTCAAAGCCCTGTTATAGCCAAACCTTACCAAGAGCCCTCTGTGCTGGATCGAGTTCATCCTGCTCTGAGGCACGCGCCCTATCTACTGCCTCACTACTCACTCGGCCTTAACAGCATCCTACCTCATTCATACCCGTTTTACAGTGATCGACTGAAACCTCACTTAACATCTCACTTACTGCCTTTTGACGGCTACGCGCACTTCCTTCACCCTCTAGCCAGCGGACACAAAGACTTGACACTTGCACTATCCAACGCCAAACAAGACCTCATTCTTTCACCTGAGCACAGAGACAACAAGGACCTCATATCTAAAAGGAAAAACTACCTCAAGATCCCCTCAGATGACCTCAGAGATTTCAAACACTCTCCTCCCAGCAATGTCCACACAGACCTCACTCTACCTGCCACATCCGGCGCTTCATCCATGGTCACCTCACTCCGCAGAGCACTGCCCTCTCTTGCACCTGGAGGATGCTCACCACCTGTGGGCATGGCTGCTTTTTCAGACTGCCTCCCCTCCAAACCCACCTCTGACACTCTGAGTGACACTGAGAATGCAGTGGACCTCAGGAAGACCAAGCGAGGTGGACAGATTATTGGCTACAAGACCCTGTCTTACCCCCTCACCAGGCAGAATGGAAAGATCCGGTATGAGTGCAACATCTGTGGAAAGGTCTTTGGGCAGCTGTCCAACCTAAAGGTTAGTTCCTGCTGTAATCTGACTTGCAAAACACTGTGATTTAATGAGTTTGACAGAATAAATAAATGTAAACGCTCATCTCTGACATGCCATCCACAGGTCCATCTGCGAGTCCACAGCGGAGAGCGTCCCTTCAGGTGTCAGACCTGCAATAAGAACTTCACTCAGCTGGCTCACCTGCAGAAACACTACCTGGTTCACACTGGGGAGAAGCCTCATGAATGCAAGGTATGGCGATGATTTATACCACTCTCACGGCTTTACAGTAAATATGCGCTTTGAGGTAACACTCAGTTAGCTTAGCCTTAGACTGGAAAAGGGCTAAACAGCTGGTCTGGCTCCACCCTAAGGTAACAAAACCTGCCAGCCAACAAGTTATATCTTGTTTGTTCAATCCATACAAAAACTAAAAGGAACAGTGTGTAGGATTTAGTGGCATCTAGTGGTGAGGACGGCAGATTGCAACCACCTGAAACTTCTCCCGTGTGCCAAGCGTGAACTCCTAGTTAGGATTCCTTAGTGTTAGTTGCTCAGGAGGTTTTTACTGGGAGCCAAACTATCCACAGAGGTCTCTTCATCTCACAGGAGACAGGCCACTAGCACAGCACCTGTTAATGTGTACTCACCTTTAGTTCTCTGATAAATTAAAATCCAGATTTTTACCAGGAGACAAATTATCTGCAGAAGTCTCTTCCTTTCCAAAACCAAAGACCTCTCAAAAGTCTCTGCTCCTGGCCAAGAAAAAGTCTCAAACATAATCCCCCATATAGATCAAACAATGTCACGTGAATAACTATTGCCTTTAATGCCCATAAATCATCCTCAAATATCTTCATTACATCATAGTATCAAAACTAAAGGTAGTAACTGTGTCGAACAGATCCTAAAACATATTCTCTTTGGCTCTTTTTTGACACAGGTGTGCTATAAGCGATTCAGTAGCACTAGTAACCTAAAGACCCACCAGCGGCTACACTCGGGCGAGAGGCCTTACCAGTGCAAGCTCTGTCCAGCCCGCTTCACTCAATTCGTCCACCTCAAGCTCCACAAACGGCTTCACACTGGAGAACGACCTCACAGGTGTCCCTGCTGCCCCTGTGCCTATCTCCACTACTGCAGCCTCCAGGTGCACCTCCAAGGCTTCTGCCCCCTCTCCCCCTCAGCCTCCCACAGACACTCACCGGAGGAGCTACACCGAGTTAACACAGAGATTGAGAGGTTTGACATGAGCGAGGCAGCGGAGCAGCTCGAGGCCATGGCCGCTGAGGCCGAGATGGACAAGGGGAATGTTGTTGACCTGATAAAGAAGATGGAGACTCATACCTCTGGCCACCTCGATGGCAAAAAAGGGGAGACTGAGCTGAGCATCTACAACTCAGCAAAGGAGTGCTCTGCTGTTAAGCTGCATCACGGCAGCCCTCTACCTCGGCATTCAACCAGCATCAAGCTGGAGTCAGGCTGCATATCAGAGCCCTAAGACTGCCTTGCTAATCCAGCCATATAATCCTTACAGGTCAGCTCAGCAGCTGTCTGTTACTACCCTATTTGAAGTAAAGCCTTATCTCAATCATGGATTGCCTACTCTACACAGGCTGTAGCGTGTGAAGAATCAAGACTTTACCAGCATGGCCTGGGACTAGTGACTCCTTTGATTTAATGTATACTTCTTTGTTAATTTATTCTGTTGCTAACATTAATCTTAAATGTATAAAACAGAGATTTGTTACATTTTCTGCTCTTGTATCCCTGGAACATCTTCATGGAACAACAACTAAATGTGATTTTGCATAAACAAAGTTTGCAGTTTTTGCTGTGTGAAACTGTTTCTGTTTATATATGTGCGCACATATTTAAGTCTCCTATTTAAAGTGACATTTACTGTACAGTCATGACTATGCAGTGTAAGTGAGCTAAATGATGAAGTGAGTACCACAGATGAAACCTCACTTGTTTGCATGTGGCATATATACTTGCCTTTGAGTGTGTAATGCGCTGATACGGTGACGTAGACAAACATCCTGTTATGAGTCTGGGGACACTCACCACCAGTAAGCGCCAACCCCTTCAACCTGGAAAAAAAAACACAAAACAACACACGACAGAATTATCTTCACTATCAATAAGATGCTGCTGCTAATTTTGCTTGCTGCATGTACTTTCATATTATAGTTTCAGTATTAATCTGCTGACAGACATAGAGCCACAACGGATGACTCAACAGTTTATTCAGATATATTCCACCAATGTTAGATTATTTGTGAGAAGACCTTTAACAACTAACTGTAGAAGAATTAATCTGACATTTACCAACCGGAGGTTATATCTTAGAGGAGTGATACTACACCCACAGTTCGGCAAAATGCCGCCTGCAGCAGGATGGTGGGAGGCCCGCAGCCCATTTTCTATTTCACAATGAAAATAAGCATTATCTTTTACATGTAAATAAGGTGTCAGGGTGCATAAAGAGCATCAAAATAAAACGTGTTTATCAAAGAAATGCACCAGTGGAGGATCCATAAGACCTCCTGACATGGGCAAACTATGAGACAATGGGCCCCTGGGCACAGATATGCAGACGGCCTCACCACCTCTCCTTCATGGGAGCAAGACACACAAACTTCATCGCTGTTTAGCCTCTTTTTTTTTGCTGTTTTGCATCTCTCTATAGTTGGTACTCACCTCTTTATGGTAAATTTGGGTCTCTTTGTGGTTGTTTTGCCCCTTTTTGTAGTAGTGGTGAGGCTCATTGCGCTCGTTTTGTGTCCTTGCAGTACTTCTGAGTCTCTTCCTATTCGGAACATGTCTCTTTGGTTGACATTTGGCAGGTGAAGGCCAGGGAGCCCCCAGCACTTTGATCCAGGCTAATTATATATGTATTAAATATTAATGTTTGTTTATTAACTGGCCCCTGGCATTTTGCAAAAGTGGCTGCCGGGCAAGGCAAGTTGAGCATCCCTGTCTGAGACTACTTTATGAATGCTGCACAGACACATAAAAATATAACACACTGTAGCAGAAGGCCTGATGTGCTCTGTGACATTTAGTGTAGTAGCGTTCTGTGATCCTCACACTGCAACTTAAAAAAAGGGTGTCAGGTGGTGTAATATTCAGATTCAGCCATCCAGTGATGAGAGAAATTATAACTTAGAGAACATGGATCTTCAATGCCAGTGCCAGACTTCTGATCAGGTCACAGCAAGCCAGCTGCTCTGGAGCTCTTTTGCCTCCTCGCAAGAAAAGACATGGCAGAGGAATGACCTGACAGGAAGCAGTAAAATAATATTATTTATCTCCAACATAAAACAATGGATTACCGAACGAGCCCAAAGTGTTGCAGGCCCTCATGGCCTTCACCTGCAAATTGCCACCCAAATTAACAAATATCAATAAGGAAGAGACTCAAAAGGACCATGAAGAGATGCAAAGCAACTGTAAATAGTCACAAAATAACCTTAAAAATGGGCAAAACAACCACAGAGACACAAAATGGCCACACAACAACACAAACTCCCAAGAGAGACACAAAGCAACAACAAAAAGGGCAAAACTACCATAAGTCTGCCTCTTGTTCCTATATAGGAGAGGTGGTGGGGCCTTTTGTATATCTGTGCCCGGGGGCCCATTGTCACATAATACGTCCATGCAAGGTGCTGAATAATTCCTGAAAAGAAAGAAACCCTGTTCTTTATGGCAGGATAGTTAGACTCTAAACACTAAGTCCATCATGAGGAAATAAGTAAGATGACCCCTCTAATAAAACATTAAAGCATTTATGTGTCAGAGCTCGGAGCCAAGGTGGAGGGAAGGTGAGCCCTGTACAGTAACACTTACAGCTCGGTAAACTGATGCCCCTTTAAAAGCGCGCAGTGACGTCACATATTTTTGACGGGAGGCAGGCAGCGGGAGAAGAAGGGAGCGGATGTACCCAGGGTGAAGGATGCCTGGGATAATGTCACCGGTGTGCTCGCTGTCCCACCTAGCCCTATCATGATAAACGCTGCTGGGGCGGTCGTCCGCAGGATGCCGTCGGTGGCCCGGCGGAGCGGCTGCTGGATAGCGTGGTGCCAGGCGGCGCTGCTCGGCGCGTCGGCGCTGGTTATCGTGGCCGAACGGACCGCGCGTAAGTGGGCATAGAATTCCCCGCGCTGGCGGGCTGCTAGTGTGCTGCTGTGGGCTAAAGCCTATTGGAAAACATGGATGGGTAGTGCTGGATTTGTGTGGAGACATTTTCGTTTGTGAATGAATGAAAAAAGGCTGGTGCTCAGCCGTGGTGCGACGTGCTGGAGCTTTCCAGCAGCAGCCGTAGTTCAGGTTGGAAACACTATTCAAATGGTGACGCTGTTACACGGGCGTTACTATTGAATGGGCAAACCTAGCTAGATGTAAATGCATGGCTGTGCAACACTGGCATTGGTTAGCCAAGCTGGGGCCCCTGGATCTCAAAGAGTCATTCAGCTGTCGTTTACAGGAATAATGCTCACCTATTAGATCTGTCCTGCACCCACCCTTCAAAAACATGCATTATTATTATAATATTACTATTATTATTAGTGTTAATGCTTGAGTTTTTCCAGCTAATGCACATCTGGAGTCTGCACTGAGAACAGTGCAGCCCTCTCAGGTGTGACAACTCCCTGACTAAGCAGATCAATGGGGCAAGGGCAGGACACAAGACAGACAAGGTGACTGTGTACAGAGTGTGACTTTGCCTCCAGCAGGTATACCATTCCCACAGGATAAAAAATACTGTGCTGCTGCTGCTGGGACTGGTCTCCACACTGAAAAAAAAAAGATCAATAAGTTATTATTTTCACGGTGCAAGAAAACTTATGTAACGAAAGACAAATGATTGCAGAGTGTGTTACAGCCAGGAGTCACGCCCTGGTCCCTTCTTGGTGGAGCTTATATCATCACATTAAATCAGCCTCCTGTTAAATTAAAGGACGCTTGAGCAAGGTGGATGTGCTCTTCAGTTTCTCAAGGACTCTGCCGGTTTCTGCAGCTCTCAACAAATCCTCACACAAGCTGGGTTTTATCTGTTTCCCTTAAAAAAACTGCATGATGTGAACTCTTAACTGAAAACAAACATGTCTCTCTAGACACAGAAACACAGAATACCGACACTTTTTTGCATTTGCATGTCTGTATTTGTTGTCTGTGTGCGTGTTAGTGATCTATTGTATAGGGTTTTACCTTTGGAATGAGGAGACGCAGTGGGCGGGCCTCACTCTCGGCCTCTTTCTCCCGGGGACAGCAGTCCAGCTGCTGAGCATGAAATGGTACTACGATGACGGGGATGACAGGCGGTGCTACCTCTCTGTCATACACATACTGCACTTGGGCATCTTCAAAAGGTAAGATCTTTGCAACTCCAGATATTTTATATATATTACAAAGTATAGCATCATTTGCATATAGAATGTGATGTTCGGATTCACGTCAGGGTGCCCTCGTAGGAGACTAACCAATCAAGTACATTAAAGAAATATTCTGTCATTGAAATCTGTACCAGGAGGTTACTGTGCATCACTTCTCTGGAATCTGTCTCCCTCTCCTGGCAGGTTATGGGACTGCATGAGGTCTGTGCTGCACATGCAGGGCTCAGTGGCCGAGCTTGGAGCTGCCGTCATGCAGCAGGCAGATGTTGCTGCCCTTTGGCTGCTGGAGGCCCTCGTCCTCACGCTGCCTCAGAGCCTGCTGCAGGCATATGTGGTGGTGTCCACTGATGTGGGCATCATGTCCCCAGGTGATCTTAGCATGGCTTTACATCTTGCTTGTGGCATGTCAGTTGAGTGGGAGATAATGTGTCTTTACTTAATATTATGTTTCATATTTCCTCCTTCTGTTCTGACCCTCAGTGGCCTATTGCTGTGGTCTCTGTGTGCTATCCATTTCCTGGGCGCTGGTGCTGTACAGCAGAGCCTGCTGTCTGATACGACCGGGCCACCTGGCGATGCCTCCGGCAGCCCTGCTGTGCCAGCTGGTGTGGAGGGCAGGCATGCTGGGTGCGAGGGTGACTTGCCTGATGTTCTTTGCCAGGGTCTTTAACTGGTGGGTCTGTGGAGTAGCAGGTGAGCAGAGAGCTCTGTGGGCATGTCTGTGTAGCTCACACCTAAGTCTGGCACCTTTCTGAAAGAAACAGAAAGGGTTATATAGTTGAAGTTGTGTAGTTAGAGAGTACACACATGCAAATAGAACTCAAGGTGGAGATTCTCATTCATTTATACTCAAGTTCAGTGATATAAATATCCCCAGAGTGATGCGGCTTGTCCTCTTAATCCAGTTTTTTACTTGCTTCTCTGCATCAGCTTGATGTACTACATATGGATTCCCTATCGTGCTTGTATCCCCTAATCTATTTTTACATTGACCTCCAGGTTTCCACTGGCTAACGGCCTCCTTCTGGCTGGTATCACAGCAGCCAGACATCTGCACCGGCCCCTGGTGTTGGCGTGCCTTTAACGGCATTATGGGGCTCGTACACGTCTTCCTCTTCCTCAACGTCAAAGACGGACCCTCGCGCTTCCGCATGGCCAGTTTTTATGCAGTAAGACGTGACTCTTGTTTGCTGTGCATTTCATTCTGGTGATTGTTTTCAATATTTTGCATTCCACATGCAGCACTGCCTCACTGACTTGTACACAGCAGGGCAGTTGCACACACACACACACACACACACACAGATACACACACACAGATACACACACAGGCAGATAGTTTGCACTGTCATCCTCACCTCTGCGAGCTTAGCTTACAGTGACGTAAAGCTGCCTGCAGATGACTGATGCTGTGACCT